CTGTTGCTGTTCAGAGCTGCTACTTGTGCTGTTTGCTGTAGGAGTTTGGTGTTGCTGCTTGAGTTTCCTCCTCTGCTGTGGTCTTTTTGTTTATCTGTTTTGTTTGTTGGCTTGTGCAGCTTGCCCCCTAGGTTTTAAGTGAATGTTGATTCACTTTGCCTGTTGTTTTCCCAGGTTCGAGGTTGAGTGGGACTCCCTTGCCTCGCTTGTATTGCTGCATTGCATGCATTTTACTGTATTTGCTTGCTTTCTTTTCTGTTTATCTCCTAGAATCTCTGATTTCCTCTGTGCATGAGGGAATTATGATAGACATTAGGATTCTTATCCATGCATGACAACCTCAGGTTAGTTTTTGTTCCCTTTTCAACCCTAGGCTTTTTAGAGCTTCTTTCTCTTCTTATCTCAAAACAACTCAAAGATACAGTAATAAGGTTAATCGATGTCGTACATTACGAGCCTTAAGCTATTTGAGAAAGGGTTGATGGAGAGCTTCTTTCCAGTAGTCTGGCTGCTTAGTGTGGTACCCTTTGGGTGACACGCGACGTAGTCACTCTCAAATCATAGTCTCTAGTGCGTCAGAGATTGCAAACAAACTAAAAAACACTTCTTTCGTAAAAGATTCAAAACAAACATCAAAGTTTCATTTTTGTCCGCTTGGACTCTTAATCAAGAAAAACCTTTTTTGAAGGTAATAAAAAACAGCCAGACAAGCTTGTGTCTTCCGTAGCCCGAACTACGTTTGCTCTGATCTTTCATGCTGTATGAAAGTACGTAGGTATAGGATGCCATATCCTAGCGAGCAACCTTCCCCTCCCTCTCTCGTAGGTAGGCGAACTACGTTGACTCTGATTTCTCGTTCCAGACGGGAATATGTAGGCATAAAGTGCGATACTTTGCCGAGTCATTTTCTTTTCTTTTTAACCCAGACCCGTAGAGTAGATAGAATAACAATCCGTACTAGAAAACAAGCGTGGATCCCGTCGAGTACGGCGGACGTGAGGGGTGCTAATACCTTCCCCTTGCGTAATCGACTCCCGAATCCAGGAATTTGGTTGCGACGACCATCCCTTTCCCGTTTTCTGTTAGGTTTACTCTGAGCGTTTCCTTTCCCTCCGTTTGGGATAAATAACGCACGGTGGCGACTCTTCTGTCATAGTCAGCGCCGATTTTTGCAGTAGCGACAAACACGACATGAATAACTGACAAATATTCAGAACTAAAAAATTAAAGTAACTAGAAATGAGATGAAATGTAATGATATGAATTCTAAAAACATGGGAGGTCGGATGGGAAATGGTCATCTGAAGGAAAATCTAAAATGTTGAAAGAGAAACCCGAACCATTAGTTGTTACAACTTCCTTGAGAGACATCAAAAAAGCAATCAATATTTCTTCCTTAGCTCGCACTTCAACAATAATCTTCTTTTCATGAGCAATTTGACATTCTTCCCTAGCTTTTGCCACTTCTTACTGGTGTGTTTCCCTTTCTCGAGATCGACCAGAACCCTATCAAAACAATCATTAAGGGAGGGACTAACAACTAGAATCAGGGCATCAAATGAGGTGGAAGAAAATGAAGGAGTTGTCTTCCAAGGAACAAAACCATTTGGAGATTCCTCGCGGATAACAACATGTTCTCATAGATCTTGTAGAAGTCATCCTGATAGTAATGTTCGTCTTTTTCATCTTGGTGATATCTTGTTTGCTTTATAACATGCACATCAAACAACTTTGGCATTTTAATGAGATCAAATTCTTCAGACAAAATAATGTTCCTTTTAAGAATTAGTTGAATGAATAAGGCGTAGAAGAGAGGCCAGCCATGATTTGCTTTGTAGATAATTATCTAGTTAATTATATACTTCACCTAATTAACTTCTTATTGGTTGAGGAAGACCCGCATAAAAAATTTCATATCATCATTCATGGCCTAATTTCTTGCCTTTTAGTATAGAGTTTTCTTAGTGATAAAATGGAGCATTCTCATTTGACATTTCATTTGCCTTACCTAAAAGTTAGAAATGTCAGGATGATCTTTGAATATAAATTTAGAGATTGACTCCACAAATAGAATATGACGAAAACTCTTGGCTTGATTTTGGGGGTCTACTTCCAAACCCTTGTTTTCCAGACCGAAAACCTCATGAAAATCCAACAAAGTTAATGATATAAGTCTTCCACGAAATCTACGGAGAAAGGTGTTTCTAACATTCTAGTAAAAAGCTTGACATGGTATGGATTGAATTTTTTTTTTAAGCTCAAAAATTTCAACAAATTGTGATTCTCAAACGGTTATAGAAAGTCCATTTTTAAGGTTGCTTCTGCTCCTTCATGAAAAAAATACTCTTGATCACAACTTTTGTTCAAGAAGATCTATGAAAAACACTTGAACTTATCCTAAAAAGTAAGATGATTCACCTTATGCAGAAGGACAAAAAATCTGGAGTATAAGAGGTAGAACCATCAGCATGAGCATATCAATTTGAGAGAATAATCTTAACTTTTGTCTGGAAAAATATTTTTCATTACCCTTGTTAGTTGAGACCTTGGTTCACTTTTTAGTGGGAACTTAAGGAGGTAGAGAATATGAACTGAGACGTTTCCCTTGTTGTTTATCAGATGATTTCTTGGAAATTTTCGTTGTTGAATGACGGAGAAATGATGAACTTTGATGAATGTAATGACTGTTATAAATGTTGAAAGTTGGATAGTTGTTGAGGTTTAGAGAAATGAATGCGAGAAAATGAATGAAAAAAAAAGTCTTAAGGATGATAAAAATGAATGGATGATATGAGAAATTGAAAGGTTTCAACGACCCATATTGATATGGAATAATTTAATTGATTTGAATTAGGACGAATAATGATTCGAATCAGAAGTAGAAATTTGTTTAACTTGTATCAAACATTTGCATAACTCGAATCATGTACTCAAAAAACATACTTACGAATGAGAATGAGTTCAATCAATATGATTCAACTTAAGTTACATGACATTCAAATCAAATACACCAAAACTAAAAATAACAAGAAAATTTATTTTGAATACAATACAAAGTAATGTATAAAACCATTTTTAAAGACTTACATAATGAAAATTTATTAAAAGACACAAATTACAATATTTATTAAACAAAACAAATTACTATAAAAACCATTTGATTATATTTTTCTTTTGACCACTTTATAAATTTTCTGACTTCTCCTTTTGGTAATGTGAAGTCTTTCTATTTTTTTTAAAGCTAGATTAAATTTAGTTGATTTTAATTTTAATTTAATTGAAGATTATTTATTATTCACTTGAATCAAATTAGTAATTGCGAAATTTAAATGACTAAATACAAATAAATTAATAGTATAATTTTATAAGTATAAATTAATTTTACATTGTCAACCAATAACGATCATGTATTCTGTTAAATCAAACTAAAAAATTTAAACTATTTATTTAATATGACAAAATGATATATTTTTATTGAATTATGCTGTAAAATTATTTTAGAGCATAACCATTAAACTCAAATAAAATTTTATTTTTAACTAGTTTTGTTTCTTCCAAAAATTGCAGTGTAAATTATATTCAATGAATCACATTAATGCAAATTGTCAGGACTCATGAAATAAATTGAATTTGTTTCACATGCTCAACTTAAAAAGGAAATAATAATACCGTTAAAAAATAAAAAAATAAATAAAAGAGATAAAGTTATGTTTTTTAATTCAAAATTCAATTTGTAAAATCACGTCGTAACAATTCAGTTATAGGCTATATAGAACATTGGATGCGTGATTTCAAACTTGTAATATTTTAATATTTTATTTATTCATCTTAAATAATATAGTGAATACAGCCATTAAGCTATTAAAGAAAATTGATTTATAAAATATTATTGCTATGCACTGCTTTAACTGCATTTCAATTAAATTTATTTATGAATTTATGTTTTTTAAATCATAATTAAATAAGCCCATATATATAAAAATCAATAATAAAATAAACAACAAATTTTCTAAATTAATTTATGTTAAATGTTTTGTATTTCTATAACAGCTCTGATAGATTTTTCAATTTTGACTTCAAGAAGTAAGTTTTCTTTTAACTATAACACATTGAAACATACCATATTTTGATCCACCATGAACTACAAATTTGTTTGGCATGACGTTTGTGATGATATCCCTTAATTAGTTGCTGATTGTCACGTTCATATAAAGTTGTTGGATTGAATATGCATATTCTAGGGTTCTTGAGGTTTTGATATCAATTTTTAATTTAAAAAGAAAATTAGAAAATTTCATTTATACCATTGGATTCCTTGTCAAAAGTTACGCAAATTTGGTTTTCATTTCATTGAATTTCATTGAGTACTCATGAAGTTACATGTGCTTTTGAAAATTGTACTTGAAGCTTTTGGGCAAGGCCAGCCATGGCGCCCTTTTTGTCAGGTTTCAAGTCATCTATATGTTTATATGTTAATCTAGGGTGGTGATAAAATGGAAAAGGATATGTGGGATAAATTCAATAACCTCATTGTAGAATAAATAGGATAATTGATCGGGCGGTAAAACTCCTCTACGCCAAAGGAGATCCTTTGTCGGTAACCTGTTTAAAAAACATTTCCAACCAAACACCTTAATTTTTAACGGAACATTTGTTTCCCACAGGATATCAAAACAATTGAAACTAACTGCTGCAAGACCTTGATTGTGCAAACACTCACATAATAGACCATACCCAGATTTCAGAGAGTAAGCAGCCAAAACATCCTTCTTTCAAAGCAAGTTGTCTGCAGCATCCTTAATGGGCGAAATGGGAGCTAATTTGTTCATCAGATCCTGCAAACAAGGAAACGCATTCAGTCGAGCAGACGTTGAAATACCGAGATCGCCCCAGATCCATGAATCTCTGCATCCCACACCCATGTCTTCAAGCATTACCTTCTTCATAAAACTGCACCGAAACAAAACCAGGTAAATTGTTTGAAGGCTCTCTTCTCCCAACTAAACCGCAGTCCAAAATGGAATCGAAGAATCGCCTCCCAATTTGTAACTGTATTTCTCCTTAAAAGCGTCAAATTGACTGTTATTATCCAGAGAGCATAAGGATTTCCACCATAAGGAGCAGTGTTTGAGCATTCTACAGTAGTCGGAGGTAGTGAAGTAAAAAGCCAATGAATCGTATCTCGCTTTAAGGATATCCAACCACAAAGCTTTTTCCACCTCCAACATTCTCCATCTCCATTTCAAAAGTAAATAAATGTTGAACTCCTCTATCCTTTTCATGCCAATACCTCCTTTTCCAAAGGGCAAACACAAGTTTTCCCAAGACACCCAATAGATTTTTCTAACAGCTTCTGCCCCTCCCCAAAGAAAATTATTCTGCATCTTCGTAATTTCTTTGTAAACTGTAACATAGGCTTTGAAGAAGGAAAGAATGAAAATAAGAAGACTGCTTGATTAGTGCTTTTTATACGTTATTTTACCATGAGTTTTAGTTAATTATCTTATACGTTTAGTTGCATTTTATGTATTTTTTATCGCATTTTATGCGTTGGTTTGGTATTTCCGTTGTTTTTAGGTTCAGGTATGCAATCAAGAAGAATTAGAGCAAAAACCGGGAAAAGCAGCAGGAATTCAGAAGAGTTTTGGAAAGGGAACAATGGCTTGACACGACCTGTGTCAGGAGGGTACCAAGAGGAAGAAAACAAAGTATGAGACAGTGGGCTGACACGGTGCCCATGTCAGAAAGTCTGGAGCAGGCATTTGTTTTATCAGATATTCAGGGGGCCAACACAGCCTCCCGTGTCAGCTGACACGACTCGTGTTGGCTGAAGCGAGTCATATTCCAATTTTCTTTTTTTTTAGGCCTTTGTGATCCCTAAGGGTATTTTAGGTATTTTCCTATTATTGTGTTGGACCTGGGAGTATTTAAGATAGGTTTTGAGAAGTAAATGAGGACTTTTTGGTCAGAGAAGAATTACATGATCAAGATTGGAGAGATCAAGAAGATTGGGAAACTGAAGGTTTTCATAAGCGGAAGCAATTGAAGATCAAGGAATCCTATTATCTTGTAATGTCTAATTTTTCTTTTGTATTTTCTTCAAATAATATGAGTAGCTAAACCCCCCAATGTTAGGGGGTGTCCCTGATTTGAATCTGTAATAACTTTGATATTAGTATTGCAATGACATTTCCTTTGTTTTCATAACTTATTTGATCTCTAGATGTTCTTACAGCTTGCCCTGTCGGACTAACATGGTTTGATTTACGATTAACGATTAGGTTGGACCGTCGTTGTTAAGGCTTTGCTTTTGATTATTTTGTAGTAGATATCACCTAGGACTAGGGATACCCTATAGGAACCAGAATATTCTTGATAATTGATTGTTTAATCTCACTTATAATTCTCTATGGACATAGGAATTATGGTAGATGATTAAAGGTTTTCTCACTAAGGACTTAGGAGTAAACATTCTAAAGAATTGGTAATTAGTTAGTTACAATAAGTTGTTGCAATGTTAATTCAGAGTTGTTACCGAGTCAGATCATACACTTCGCCTAGCATGTTACTCATATCTATTTAAACTTCTTAGTCAAATTCTCTCTTTTACTTGCAAATATTTTTATAATTCAACCAAACAATCTCAAAACCCCAAGTGCTTTTGTTCAATTGAATTATTTTAGAGCTTGTATTTCCTATGCAGTCCTCGAGATCGATATTCGGGGAAATCCCCATTATTACTACATTGGTAAAATAGTACACTTGTTATTTTACCTATCACTGCTCCATACCGACCTTAACGATGTAATGCACCCGCCAAGGTTTAAAATTTTGTATTTCCAATTTGAAAGCTTCGCCTTCAACTTCTTAATCAAAAACTCCCAAGCTGAAACCTTCCTAGACTTAAGACCGATAGGCACTTAGAGAAAGTTAAATTACGTACCTTCGATCCTGCAAGACAAGAAATTTGCAGCAACTTCCAAGAAGTGAATAGAAATGTTAATTCCAATAAGTTTACTCTTAGAGAAATTCACACCCAACCCGGAGATGACTTTGAAACCTCTAAGAATAGATTTAAAAGCCCAAACATGTTTCTAAGAACCTTTACCAACTAATAATGTGTCTTCGGCAAATTGAAGAATCTTCACACTGCAATCCTCATTTAAAGCGAAACCAGAAAATTCTCCAAATTCAATAGATTTTCTCACCAACCCAGATAAACCCCCTGCTATGATAACGAACAAAAAAGGAGATAGAAGACCTCCCTGGAAAAGGCCCCTACCCACTCTAAACTCCCTCGTCAGAGATCCATTTACTAAAACCGACATGGAATTGTTGAAAACCAAGGCATCCATCCACCTAATCCAAAGATCACCAAACCCCAACCTTCTTAACATATAATTTAGAAAGTTCCAACTCACCTTATCATAAGCCTTTTCGAGATCGACTTTGAAAAGCAAGCATCTCTTCTTCTCCTTAACTGCAAAATCCGTAAAGACACTGTCCAACAACTGCCTCCCTGGAATAAATGCACTCTAATTAGAAAAAATAATCGAGCCAAGGACAATCTTCAATCTTCCTGTAAGAAGTTTAAATAACGCTTTATAAAGGAAGCCTACTAGACAAATTGGTTTATAATCAGACAAGCTCAAAGGATTCTTGCATTTTAGAATTAAAGAAAGAAAAGAAGAAGTTATAGCCTTTGACAAGCATGTCTTCGAATGAAACTCGTGGAATAAGCGTTGTATGTCATCTTTAATGAAAGTCCAACATTTCCTAAAAAAACGAAGTTATAACCATCGGGCCCGGGACTTTTCGAACCGCCACACCCCCTAAAAAGCATCCTTGATCTTTGTTTCTATAAATTTGGCTTCAAGAAATTCACAATCAGTAGCCTTCAGTCTACCAAGGGAAATACCATCCAGAGTTGGACGACTATGATCACTCTTCATGAAACAATTCGAGAAGAACTTATGCACTTCTTCCTTGACTTCGCCCACATCCTCTAACAAATCATTACGAGAGTTAAGGGAACCAATGAAATTCCTATGACCTCTCTCTTTCATGGTACAATGAAAGAATTTACTGTTGGAATATCCTTCCTTATCCCGTTGAAGCCTTGATTTTTGAAGCAACGTATTCTCCTTTGATTGCAAGTCCTTCCAGAAATGGTTGGTAGCTTCTCTCCTATTCTCCACCCAATCCTCCACATTGAAGTCCTCACAATTAGCAAGGATTTCATCAGCTTCATTAATTATATTATAACCCTCCTCAATTTCCAAATTAATTCGACCGAAAGTTTTAATATTCCATATTCGTAAGCTGGATTTCAGTAACCTCAAGTTTTCTTTGATCACATAATCACTCTTACCCACGACTTTCAGCTTCATCCATTCTGACTCGACAAAGGGGAGGAGAAGGTTATTATCAAACCAACTGTTGTTTACCCTAAACAGTTTAGGGCCCCGGTCACAATTTTTAACCACCAACCAAATCAGACAATGGTCGGAAATGTCCCTCTTGCCGATCAATTGACCTGCGATCCCTCACCTATCAATCAACAAATTGGAAACCAAGATATAATCTATCCTACTCATAGAAAACCCGTTGCCATTGGACCAACTGAAAGAGTTCCCTTTACAAGGAAGGTCGACTAGATTAGAACTCATTAAGAAATCAGAGAACTCTCTAATATCAGAACTTCTACTACCCAAAGATCTGCATTTTCTCTCATTAGGATTTGCAATGGAGTTGAAATCCCCTCCTAGAACCCACTCCCTATCATGATACTTAGACTTGAGAACCAAAATTTCCTTCCATAAATTCCTCCTAAGAGCCAAGGGACAAGGAGAATACAAATTGACCATATAAATGAACATACCTTTCCACAAAAGTTTAATCCCTAAAAAGCCATCTCCTTTGAAACTAAAGATAATGTCAAAACTACCTTCCTTCCACAAGATGATGATGCCCCCAGACTGCCCATTAGAGCTAGCAAAGGCCAACCAACCTTCTTTTTATCCCACAAACTCCGAACTGACTAAGAATCAACGTTGGTCAGCTTGGATTCTTGAATCATGAATATATTAGCACAACCCTTAACTATAATTTGGTTAATTCTCTTTCGCTTAACCAGGCTACCTCCTCCTCTAATGTTTAGAGATCATATAATCATTTCACATGATTGGCCATCACCTCCTGTGCTCGTTTCCTTTGGATATCCCTCTTCTCCATATCATTGACCTTATTTTTGTAATCCTTTTTAGGGCCTTTAGAAATGACCCCCAGCTTGGATATCACCTTCCAAACCTTGCTCCCAACATTGGATTCAATGTTCTCCCAAAATCGATTATTACAGTGAACAACGCCTGAAACAGTTGTTGGCTCACAACATAACACAACACCAGCAGAGAAACTACCAATTTCCTCAGAGACAAATAGCTTAGTAAGTTGAGATAGTACCTGGTGATGGGTGGACTCAAAGGAACTGATAGGTGAAGTTAATGGACCAGCATTAGAAGAAACAAGGTCCAACAGGATGAAAGTTTTAAGTTTCTTCTTTTTAGGCCTTCTCTTCTTAATGGACAAAGGCCCGCCCACCTCGTAAATACTTTTTTTTTGTTCGACAAAAAGGAGCTTCTGAAATCCCTACTACGCACTTGCCTAAGCTAGGAATACCAAGAGAACATGAAACTCTTGTGCCAGACTAATCTTGAGTCACGAGCGCAGCATTGAGGGACCCATCTTCTGAAGGTAAATGACAAGAAACCTCCTTCACCGCCACTACTGCCACGTCAAAACTACTTTCTAAGATATCATAATCAACTTTACCCAAAGACCTAGAACCTCTGCAACTGCCATTAGACTTGGTACCTACAAAAACGTCTAGAACTGCGTCTGTCTCACATCTGGGAACAACAACCATGCTGCCCCTACCTATCGGATCAAGATGCATCAACTCAAGATCTTCTTCATCAGAGAACCCAACTTTCATGTCAGGCTAAACCTTCTTAGAATCTGAAGAAGACGAAGACATATGACAAGGAGAAGAGTTATTCGAAGAAATTCGGATAAGACCATAAGAGTCCTCCGAAAATCTGATCTTGAATAATCTTACATCTATCATCACATTATGCACCATACTGATCACAACATCACAAGAAGTTATGACCATGATTCTTGCAATATCCATGTTAGTTGCCTTCAGAGTATTATCTTCGCTACACACGTATGTCCCAACTAAGTTCGCCACCTTCTAAAAAAAATGTTCCAGGTATGACATGGATTACCATACACCCTAATCCATGTTACTCTTTCTGTATCTACGTCTTTTTCCTTCCATTCTCTAATAATAGAGAACCACTGGCTCCACCAATTTTCTCCT